TTGACTCTGTTCATACTATCTTTACATTTATTAATTCTGATGCTTTCATATGCATCTAATTGCCTGTAATTTGAGACTTGTTTAATTAATTTTAAATTATTAAGATCTATACAATGTTCTTTATCAACAATATGTTCGGCAACGCAAGATTTATCCGGTCTACCATATCTTATCTGTCAAAAAACTCCAAGACGTCAATTTTCATCCAAAGATTGACGTTACTTTAAAAATTATTTGGAAAAAATCGAAATAGAAATGAAACTTCTACACCATGTATCTCCGAAACTAAGCAATTTAGGACATATATTTATACGAACTTTTTTACTTATTCTTGTCTGCAGAATATGCTGCCGATGTTTCCGGAATACAGTTCGAGCCACCCTGTATAATTTATATGGTTTTGTAACAAATTGCTTGCTATCTTATGGCAAATGTTGAAGCTCTGCAAACCTTAATCAAGCCTTAATCCAAGCACGTGTGTTTGGAATTTTGGGTGTGGCTTAACACGACCGGATCGGGCTAAGCTTTAGACAGATTTCTGACATAACATATATGTCCTTCGGCCACACACCCGCTTTAAGGATGATTCACGGTACACCGGACCGTACCCGAGCCGGGCACGTTCCGTGAAGTAGACACCGAGCCACGTCCGGGCCTTCAATATATGCAACACCGAGTGGACAACGGGAATCATGTCCGTGCCGAGAAAACAGTCGCTATAGGCCCGTAGACGAACGAAGTATTTAGCCGCGGCGGCTCATTTATGTTTGCCGCAATGGGGCCGGAACGTAGCGGATCCGAGGAAAAATGTACACCGACATTTCTTGGACGGGGCACGGACGCGTTCCGGCGAAGCTCGGACCGTGCTCGGCTTAGCATGAATGTATAAGTATAAATAACATTTGACAATGTTTGGCCGTGCCTTCACCGTCGCACGGCTCCGGCCCGTCACGGTGTACCGTGAATCATCCTTTACACGACCCCTGAGAGTGACCCGAACAGTACAGCGTAATAGACTTTTAAGGGGAAAACCCGAGGAAAACCTGATATAGTAATAATTGGAAAAAGTGGTAAAAACAGTACGAATCATAAAAATAATTTCTTTTTCGATTTTTCTACTAGATTAAAAGTAATTTACAAGATCCGATAAAAAAATGAATTAATTAAAATCAATTTCGTAGGCGGGCCACATAACACGACACGTTATCGTTATAGAAACATCATCTCTTCGTATCAATAACGAGGACAAAGGGCTGTATCGATTTTCAGCAATCTTTGTCAGCCAGATATTATTTACCGGCTCACCTGATCTTCGGGATTACGACATCACGATATAATGAATTATGGCAACCTTCGAAATACGTTCGGTTATCGGGAAACCTTCGAAAAAAGAAAGAAATAATTAACTCAAAGGAAGGGCTTTATTATGTCCTAGTTTCTATTACTAGGATAAAAAAAATAAAACACTTTGCAATGTATATTAATAAGATGAATTTAACCCAATAATTTCATTAAAAAATATTTTTAAATTATAGAGTAAAAATAAAACTTGATAATTTAGTAGTAATTATACAGAATAGTAGAAATTATACAGAATTTGTATTCTATTTTTTTTTCTGCTTAAGAGTGTCTCATAGTCTAGAAATATATTATTAGGTAGAATTTTTATGCATATTTTTCGTTCAAAAATTTAGTTTATTATTTTTTATTATATACTAGCGTGTACCAGCGACTTCGTTCGCGTCGAATTGATCATTTGTAATGGTGATGATAAAGCAAAGCAACAATTTCCATTAACATACAAACTGGATAAAATTTATATGGCGAAGAAAAAACTATATAGCGATATCATTATATAACTTGGTAATATTTGAGGAATAGTTTCATCTCGTTGGAATTTGACTTTCGAAAAATCCGTTTGCCACAAATAAGCTTTCTACGTCAAGCAGTTTAAGCAGAATCGTGGTTAAGAAATTACCCAACTTTTTGGGACACCCTGTATGGTTTTTTTAAAAATTTCAAAATATGTAAAAAACCAAATAAATCATGCTTGTCCAAGCGTTTTCCCGAAAGACTAACCGTTTTTTAAATAACAAATATTGTAATATTTGAGGGGCGTTTTCGCACTCTTGGAATTTGAGATTCGAGAAACCCCTCCTTATCGAACCTCTACATCCCACAGTCAATCCGTTTGCCAAAAATCAGCTTTAAACGTCAAGCAGTTTAAGCAGAATCGTGATGGTCATATTTTATGTATAAATTTATAAAAAATCTTAAAATATGTAAAACAACAAAATAAAATATACGTGTTTAAGAGTTTTTCCGAAAAATTCACCGGTTTTTAAACAAAAAATATTTTAATATTTGAGGGATAGTTTCACCCCCTTAGAATTCGAGTTTCGAAAAATCCCTTTTTATGGAACCTCTACACCCTAGAATCAACCTGTATGCCAAAACTGAGCTTCTTATGTTGAGTGGTTTGAGCAGGATCGTGATTAATCAGTATGTCAGTCACTTAAGGATTTTATATATTAGTATAGATTTTAGTTATATTAATTATTTGTTTAAACATTAATAGTCTGGCAATACGGCATTGTATCAGTCTGTGGGACCGAAAACAGTAAAACTTTATTTTAATCTTTATTTTGTATTCAGAAAATTATTTTACTTATATAAATAAGATTTTTCTCGGATTTTTCCTAATAAAATTAATACAATAAGAATAAGAAATTTCAATTCGAGACCGTACCGATTTGTATATAAGGTATATTAAATATTATTATATTTCATTTTGGGGGTATACAGTATGTCCACGGACTCTATTTACAAGAAGAAACACTTTTATTATTGACATTTTAATAAAAATGCATTCTTCGTAAAAAAAATTGCTTGTTCTAAAATGGCTAATCCCGTTTAAAGCCCTAAAAATCAAGAGGCGTTTATATGGTAATACAATTTTGATTTCATTCTTTGATAGATGGTTATTATTAATTATGATTAACGTTATATTTTTTGTTGTTTTTTTTTAAGTATTACATTTTCCGATTACTATTTTCATCCTATCCGCATTGATCTAAATAAATTTTGTGCTTCTTTAACATTTTAAAACAATATGAACAAATATGACTTAATTAAGATTCTATCAATAACAAACCCCATCAAGGAATAAAAACAAAATAATATTACCATAGAAAAGCGTTTTGATTTTTAGGATTTCAAGAAAATAAAAATTCAACTATATTTTGATGTTTTTTTTATTTTCTCTAAAACAGTGTGGAAATTTGGGAAAGTAGGATTATTAAAATTAGGATTGATTCTTTGTAGACGTACTCAATTGTTTTCGGTCACTTCCTGTTTCACCGGAAATGACTACAACTTTTGATTTTTAAATGGCACTCTCGGTATTTTGTTACTTTATTCGATAAAAAATAAAAATCTGAATAAAATGGCATATCATATGTCACCTTTTGACATTGATTTTTGAAAAACTTTTTGGAATTTGTTTTAATTTTTAGTTAAAAAACATAATTTCTTGATAATATGGTAGTAGATTAAATTTACAAAAAAAAACAGAAAATATCCAGTGGTTCTGAAAATTTATTTTTTTGGAAATTTTCAAAGAAAAATAACTCGGATATGTTGGATTTATTTGAAAAACGGTAAAGAGAAAATATGTTTCTTTTATCGAGATCTACCATCCCTGAAAATATTTGCATTGAAGTTCTTGAACCTTGTTTCTAATTTACGTTGTTTACAATTTCAATTTACTTGTCATAAAAACAAATAATACTTAATATGATTTTAAAGATAGTAGATAAGTAGATTAAGGATAGATACATTCCACTATATTCAAGTATCTGTTTTACATCCTTAATTCATGTGGAATATTTTAAGTTGCGTAAGGGCCTGTAATGTAAACATAAGGAATATTTTAAGCCTTTACGACCTATTTAAATACCAGTAGCTTCAAATACCGCTAACGAAAACTATGTAATTTTCTATTCCTTCTGTAGAATTAACGTGTGAATTGCCATATAAATATTTATGCATATGGCAACGAAGTTAATTCGTATGCTTCGCGTGAAACCTTTTGACTGTTATGCCGGTATTACTCTGAGCTCTTCGCTTTTATTATTCATAAAAAGAAGTTCTCGAATGAAGATAGTTTACAGAGCCAGGGATGTGTTTAGAAATAGCACTAAATTTCTTTGAATAGCGAACTAGAACTATTTACACTTAGACACATTTAGAAGTAAAGTTTTTGTGAGATTTAATAATAAAAATTTTACTCTTATGATATAAGGAATTGTGTAAAATATTTGAGTTATTTTAAGTCTAGTTTTAATATAATGTTATAACCTTCATTTTATATTTTGTTCGATCTTATACAGGGTGAGTCTTAAATAATTGCAAATATTTTTAGGGACAGTAGGTATAATTCACCATACATTACTTTCCCGTTTGCACCCGCCAATCAAAATCCGTTTAATTCCCAGTGCCCGATTTCGACCGAAAAGAGCCTTCGTGTAACATCGTATTTGAAAAGGTCCTCCATTCGATCAGCTAACTGGGAAATTTTACCGTTCAAGTTGGTTAATTCGTTTAATTTAATATTTAATCCATATTTAATCGTTTGCTAGCCTTTCTGGGTGTTTGAACCATTTTATATACGGTCACTACTATTTTCCCGTCAATTCGTGTTTCATGCAAAGATATTAGTCTTGTTTTTATATATTATTATACATATTCAAGGATATTAGTGTGGTTTAATATCTTTTTAATAACTAAATTTTTTGTGATTTTGGTGCTTTTCATCTTTATTTTATCATATTATAGATGTAGGTACATAGTTTGTGAATTTGTCTTGGAATTAGAATTTATCAGTGAGCAAAAAAGTACCTATATTGCCTTAAGGGTTTAATTAAATATGGATTCGGCAAGGTATGTTATTTGTGCAGTTAGGGTTAGGATTAGTACATTTATTGTATTTTGTAGCAATAACAAATTAACTTGCCCTTATGCAAAATGGTGTTTGCCAATACATTCACAAAGAATAGACATGTAAGTAAGTTCCATCCAGAAGAAGAAACAACAACAACAAGGAAGAAGCACATCAAATGTCCTATATGTCCAAATGAAGAGAATTTTTCGTTCCATGATTGTTTAATTAAACATTTAAGTACCATACATAATCTGAATATTCAACAATCTGTTTTTTATTTTAGAAATCTTGAAGAGTTTACAGCTTGGATGTCGCTGGATAATAAAGAAGGAAACTATGCTCGTCATGATAGACAAAAACATGCTAGTGGAGAAGAGACTATATTATATAACTGTAACAGAAGCAATTCTAAAGGTTGTAGACTTATTTATGTTATACAAATATTTCATTGTTAATAAAATTCATTCTTAGGATTTGTTAGTTCATGCAGCAAACGTAATATGAAAACTGGAGGTAGTATTCGTATAAATGGGACCTGCCCTTCACGAATTTTAGTGAAAATAACTACAGATGGTAATCATGATATTTTTTGTGTCTAATACCTACCTAATGATTAAAAAATACAGGTCAAATTCAAGCCAAATTTTTTGAAACATGTGGGCCATACAGATGAGTTGAGAACAAAGCGATTGTCGAAGGTGGAACAAAGTATTATTGTGGGACAATTATCAGCAGGGGTATCAAATGACAGAATAATTCAAGATGCGAGAAAAAACATTCAAAATAATAAAGTTTAGAGGATAAATTTAGTAACAAGAGGAGATTTGGCATATTTGATTCGCAAGTACAACATTGATAAGAAGAGGGATAATGATGATATGACAGCTACAGCCCTAAAAATTGAAGAATGGAATAAACAAGGAAATAACCATTTATTTTTATTTAAGAAAATTGGTAATTAAATCAAATGTTGATTAGTGTTAATTAAAAGTTTCAAAAGAAGGTTATATTATTATAAGATGTTTATTTAATTTCAGGTGAAAATTATCCAGGTTTAAAAGATGAAAATTTTGCAGTGGGGTATATGAATGCTGTTATGGAAAAAAAGCTGCTGGATTTTAGTCGCATCATATGTATTGACGGCACCCATGGAACAAACAGGAAAAATTTTAATTTAACTGTTATATGCATTAAGGATGAAAATAATTTAGTATTTCCAGTGGCGTTTTTGCTTTCCAACAGGTTGGATCAGATAATTCAAGAAATTTTTTTTAGGGCTCTTTTAACAAACCTAGGTAAACCAATTGATGCAGAATATATTATGAGCGACAATGACCCGAAATATTATGGGGGTGATGGTTATATAATTATTAGTAAATGGTTGTTACGTTAGGTTGTAATATAGTAAATTTAAAAATAACATTAATCAGTGTAGACAGAGCAAAAAGAGGAACATTCAGAGGCAAACATTATCCAGGGGAGAAAATATATGTTTTGTGTTTCACCTTCACCATTTTTAATAAGTTTTATATAATTTTGTTTTTATGTATATATTAAGTTTTTATTTTTAGAACGGGTGATGGTTATATAATTATTAGTAAATGGTTGTGGTTATTATTATTAAAAAATTGTTTTGAGAGGTTCATGGCTCAGAATGTAGTAAATTTAAAAATAACATTAATCAGTGTAAACGCTGCATAGAGAGGAACAATCAGAAGCAAACATATTATTCAGAGAAGAAAATATATGTATTATTTTTCACTATTATGAGTAACTATTATTATACTCTTTAATTGTTTTTTATGCATATAAGTTTTTATTATTTTTAGAATGGGTGATGGTAATCTGCTTGTTAAGTTTTTAGGATTTTGGAAAAACAGATTATGACTAAAATTTGATATAGTTTTTAATTATGTATTTAAAATAGTCTTTTCTCATATAACTACCACTACTGTTGTTATCTGTGTTAGGTATATTGATATTTTATTGGTTACGGTTTTGCTTCAATATATTTTCTTAAATATTATTTGTCATATCTCTGTACTTATTATATTTTGGGCTGACAAGGTTTGGTTTATAAATATATGTTTGAAATAATTTAGTTGTATAAATATCACTGTAGTTTGTATTCATGTCTTTATTACTAACAGAAATAAATTTTATCAACAAATTCTAATCTTGTGTTTTTCACCCTCATTCATGCTAAGCCTATTTATGTATGTTAACATTTTTGTTAATACATTATGGACCACAAAATAAATAATGTAAAGTTCTTTAACCAAAATGAACCATTACAAAATTTTTGCAATAAATGTAGGTAAATACAGTCTGTTCGGTATTATTATTAATCTAGGTTCTGCTACCTACTTTAAAATTTAGAAATAAAAAACTCCTAATATAGATCTTAAAATTTACAGGAATTTGTTTTAAAAATTATAAAGATACTGCAGAATCAAAAAAGGCAACTCAAATATTGACACAAATTATTTGAAAAATGGCTGTAGTATCTCCTATGGGTATATCTAAAAGTAAATATAACACACTCCTGATCTCTACATAAACCAACATATTAATTATATGTAAACGAATAAAATAATGATTACCTATAGGTATAGCTTTTTTAAATTGCACCCTCCCATTTTTCTGTATTTTAATGAAATAAAATATATAGTTATCTTTTGAAAAACAGCAATTCTACGTCAAACGTATTTTCATGGGAAATTTGTCCATTTTTTTAATTAATATTAAAATGGTATAAATAATCTCCTCATTTTCAAATAACGCGGGAAATTTGCTCCGCCCCCATTTGTGCTGAAACGATTTGATTGGCGGGTGCAAACGGGAAAGTAATGTATGGTGTATTATTCGACCTTAGAAAACACATCTTTTTTTTCGCGAAAAAAAAATTTGGAATTTTTTGAAAATTGTTTCGATTTTTTTTTAATTTTTAGTTAAAAAAGATATATCTTTATAATATGGCAACATAGGTAGTATATTAAATTTACAAGAAACAAAACCTAGAAAAGATCCAGTGGTTTCAAAGTAAAATATCTGAGGATATTTTGAACTTTCAATTGGAAAATTTGAAATACGGTAAAGAGAAAATATGTTTCCTTTATCATCCAGTTCTACCAGTCCTGAAAATATTTGCACTTATTTAAGACTCACCCTGTGTAGTTTTGTTTTATATACAGGATGAGTTTTCTACTATATTCTCCATGGGTATCTCGCAAATTTCGAAAAAGACAAATTCTGGCTATTTTAAGAATGATCACTAATTTCATTATACATATAGTCTATTATAAACAAAAAATTATTAGATAAAAGTTGTAGATAATCACATCCTTAATGAGACTGTGCTCACCGTTTTTTTCGAAAGTTTTTCATTTTTGACATATGACACAAACATGTTTTTTTTTAATGGAAAACTTAGTTGACCATAACTTCCTGAATTATAGCCAATTCTTATCTTTTTTGACTAATTTCACTTAGTTGGCGTGGCACACATATTCTATTATAATTTATAACTTACCAAAAGACAGGATATGTTATTAAACGGTTCTTTACAATTTACATTAAACAAATTAAAACTTAAAAAACTAATATCGCTACATACACTTTAAGTTATTTTAATAAATGTTCAAAAACCCGTCATTGTTTTTAGTACATAAAATGTATGTTTTTAATATTGAATTACCAGCTTTTCTCACAAGTGTTCAACATTACTAAACTTCTCCCGGACCGCCTCTTCGAGTGCCTTTCTTGATTCAAAAAAAAAGTTTTCTTGTAAACCTTGTTGTTAACCATACCGCATAAGAAGTTTGACGATGAATATCTTTTAAACGGTTAATCTAATCGACTAATCATAAGGAACCATTTTTGTAGAGCAGTGAATTTCCTACAAAACAGTGAGATACGCGATCATAATGATTTTTATTAACGATTTAAAAAATTCATAAGAAAAAAAAATGCCTTAAAATAATCAAACTTCAACCTTTAATAACTCTCCAACGGTGAGGTTTTACAAAAAAATTGAAACAGAGTTTTTTTGTAGAGAATTCAATTTCCTACAAATACATGAGACGAGATATATTTTCCAAATATTATATATACCGAGATATGAATTTTTCTTTCTAATAATAAGGAAAAATAGAAAACTGAAAGGCAGGTTTTCTATTAAAATTAAGAGCTCATACTTGGAAAGAATTTTTTTGAGGTGTCTACTAACCTTTTTTTCGAGTATAAAGTGAAAAAAAAATAGTCGATTTTTTTGATCCACCCTAATGGGGAATATCATCGATCGTCAATTTCAAACCAACTCGACGCCTTTTTTTTATTTTCATTAATTCATTTTATCATATGGCTCATATACATGCAAGAAAACCAGACACTTAAACATAGACATAAAATAAACTACAATGTAAATGAAAACATTACAATGTAAATATAAAAAAACAAGTATATTATAAAAAGACAACATAAAAAACGTATTTACGAACACTATATATAGATATATCTAGATGTCCTATCCATTCCAAAGTTGATGGAGAAGCTTTCAGAAAGTCCCTCCAGTCTTCACCATAAGCGCGTAGGTCGCACTCTCTAGTTATGTGATGGATGGTTTGGTGAGGGGATCCGCAATCACATTCTGGGCAAGGTATTTTTCCCCACTTATAAAGGGAATCCGCACATCTTCCATGGCCAAAGCGTATCCTATTCAAAGTTGACCATGTTTTCCGGTTTAGATCGGTACCCGGTGTCTGGCAATAGTTATTGTTGAACCAGGAGCACAGCTTACAGAATAATATAGCTTGGACACTCGCCAATTTTTCCCACGCTATAATTTAAAACGCCCTACTCCGACGATGCGCTAAATGAATTAAGCGACCGACAGTCAGCCTCATTCAGTCGATGCATAGCCTCCACCGGTGGCGCGTAGGGCCGTATTACGGAAGATTTTAATTCGATTTTTTTTCTTATATTTAACCATAGGTATTTGTGCTTTTATTTCAATTTTATTTTTATTGATGGAATGGGAAAAGGTTTTCCGGGATGTGCGGCTGCTGGTTGCACAAATAATTATGGAAATAATTCAAAATATAGTCTGTTTAATTTTCAATTCAATTCAAAATTAATGTTCAATTCAAAAGTATATTCACACTTTAGTGCTTTTCAAAACGATGAAGACTACTTATTTGGAGGCTTGCTAATGCCAAGTGACCATTTTTTTATTTAGTTTCCTCATTGGAGGCTAGTTTTATAAGCTTTTATTTAACTTGCTTTGTATGTAACTATCTATGTATGTATGTATGTTTGTTCGGGGCAAATCTTGTAAGCTAAATTAAAACCACTTCCTTTTATTGTAGGAGATTGAAATTTGGCATGTAGGTTCAGTCCCGATGACAATACATTTTTTTGCAAGGCATGACCCGAATTTTTGACAGCTGTCAAAATGGCGGCATTTTTGAGGTTTTTGATTTTTTAAAATTCTATTTATGAATGGATCGGGCTGAAATTATATATATATATACAGGTTGTTAACTCGACAGTTACTTATAGGGAAACAGAATGGCAACACTGCCTATTGAGAACGTATGCATTATTGATTTTTCTGCCGACTCGTCCCGTCCCGTCGTCTATCGACGAGCGGGCCGAGGTTATTTCAACCATAAA